TCATGAGATTACCATAGGCCTACTTACTTGTTGTTTTTTTTTTGCTAGTTTAGGCCTAGGCTAGGCCTACCCTAGGCCTACTACAACTACTACTACTTACTTGTTCCTGTATGTGCTGGCATCTTTCGTCCTTAATTAATTTTAATTAATTATTGATGTTGAAAGCAACTATATGAATAGTTCAAATATACGAAAAAATATATAAGGAAATAAATTAGTTAATTAAGGGTTTTCGATTAGAGGCGCTAATGCACTTTTGCACCTAACTTTTAATTCTTAATTTTTTTACCTCAACATTCTTCTCACAGTCACAGCATATAATTAACAAACATTTTCACCTGATTTAACCACTCACAAAGTACAATTTTTCAACAAATAAGCCTACAAATAAGTACAGCGAATCTGTGTTCGCTAGCACGAAGAGCGGCTGCCATTTAGCAATCATTAAGAAATTGCCACAACTTTTGATTCTTAAAGTTTTTACCTCAATGTTCTTCTCACAGTCACAACATATAATTAACAAACATGTTCACATGATTTAACCACCATTTTGCAACTAGTAAGAAATTGCCAGAATGTCTGAGTTTGCAGCGTGAAGTTTTTTGATTAAACGTTTATGTACAAATTACTTCAAAAATTAATAATGATCCAAATGCGTACACAGATCGAAAAATAAGGCCTAGGGGCCTAGGCCTAAATCCAGAAACAACTAATAATGCCAATGATAAACGTCGGTTCGATTAACCTCGATTATGACAACAAAGTTCAAAAAGATGGTACTGCATGATGCCACATTTTGTTGTCGGATGTTTCATGGGAAAATTCCAATTAAAGTTATAATACTGGTCTTTAATGGTTTCAAAATTTAAGAACTGACTTGGACATTCTGGCAATTTCTTACTTTATTGCAAAAAAGTACAGCTCATCGTGCCAGCAAGCGCGGAAACCCTGTATCAACCTATTCTATATTATAAATGTATCTTTATTGTTAAAAAAATGTAGGCCTACTTTATGAGAGGATGAATCACGTAAAAATGTTTTATAATTATGTGTTGTGACTGTGAGAAGAAAATTCAAGTAAAAAAAATTAAGAATTAAAAGTTAGGTGCGAAAGTGCATTAGCGCCTCGATTAGGCTTGCCTAGGCCAACAATGTCCAAGTAGTTACTGCATAGTCACAGGGCTTCAAGCAACTAAGCCCTGGCAGGAACGAGTTGTTGTTGTGAACCGTGTCGTATGGTCATGGCCTAGGCCTACGGTTTCGTTCTTGTTACTTACTAATTCCTGGCATTTAATCTCAATCCTAAAATACCTACATCAATGTGCGTACATACCTTGGTAGAACAACACTAGATAGAAATATATTCAAGATCAAAGGGGTCAACTACGCAACCCAAATAATTATGTTGATAGACCTTTCTGACAACTGAAAACCATCGAACGAATTCAGCTACATCAAGCTAGCCAACAATCTGCCAGCCAACAACAAGCCAGCCCACAATTCCAGCCAACAATAAGATAAGATACGATCGCGTTGGACTGCAGATTTCACTATTTACTTCACTGTGTGTGCGGCCGCGAAATTAGCGATGTTTTTAAAAACAGCACTTATTCTTCAACCCGGGCCACGGCTGAGGCAATAAAAGGATGGCGGGGAAGGAGATGGGGGAGGGGTAGGGATAATATTAGAGGAGTTGGGAAACAATAAGGAGAGGAATTGGGAAACAATATCGTTCGAAAACGACAGATTGTTCCTAAAAATCCCTTGGATTATACATAGGCATGGTGTATCCCTTATTCACACCCCATCGAGGTTAGAGGGGGACCGGAGGTCCCGTTTAATAATAGCTCCACCTTTCTATAATTTTCAGTCATTTTTATACTGGTGGTAAATATAGGTATAGATGTGTATAAGAGACAGATATAGTCAATGCTTGTTCCTGAAAATCCCTTGGTAGGATTATGGTGTGATACCCCAATCACCACAACAAGTGGGAAGAATTTTAGGCGGGAGGGGTGTAAATTTAGAAAACAATTATTCGAAAACAGCAGATTGTTCCTGAAATCCCTTAATGGGGTTACGGAGCGATACACCCTCAATCACTCCATCGAAGTTAGAGTGGGACCGGAGGTCCGGTTTAATAGCCACACACTTTTTATAATTTTCACTCATTTTATACTGTTTGGGGTGTAAATGAAGAGTAACGATTTCTCAAAAACGGCAGATTGTTCCCTGAAACCTCTTGGTAAGATTATGATTTTCACTCATTTTATACTGTTTGGGGTGTAAATGTAAGAGTAACGATTTCTCAAAAACGGCAGATTGTTCCTGAAAATCTCTTGGTAAGATTATTAGTACGGCAGCTTAGGGCCATATTTGGACTTAATGTGGACGTTCCGGACAAAAGCACAAATTTCTTTTTACATGCTCCTTATGGTCATAGCATTCAATTTTTGGTAGGAACCACCTCATCCGAGGTCATTATGGCGGCCATCTTGGATTTCAAAATGGCTGCCTAATAAAACCTATGTTTATCTATATC